TGAAAAGGTTCCAGCACTCAACGTTGACACTGCATTGTGCTATAGTATTATTATGGTGTGGCAGTGTGTAAGATCACCTTCTGTGATCACTTACTGTGTACACTCTGAAACAAATACTTTCTTAGGAGGATTTATATGTGTATACATATATATTGAATATATTATACACACACAGACACACACACACACACGTAATTTGAGTTTTCCCATACCTTGTTTAAATGCATGAGGTCATATGACAATAATATTTGCATAGACATAATGTAAACTCATGCAATTCCTCAGTCATATTTTTTATATCCTGCTTACAGAGGACTTTGCCAACTCTCTAAGAGCTTTGAGACTGCTGCTGGGAGTTCCTGGAGGAGTCTCTCATCAGGTCCCAGTCCTCTTGCTTTCTTAGTCTTGGCTCTTTCGTGGAAGTCCTTGCATTGCATGGCTGCTGGGGATGTGTATAAAAACTCTGACTTCCTAGCCAAGGAGCTGGCCTCACAAATCCCCAGAGCCCCAGGCCCTGGAAGCACAGTGCATAACGCAGACCTCTACTGTGGAGAAATATCTATGTCACATGCAGGCAGCTGGAGGGTAGACACAATTTGTCCCCATTTGCTTCTTGTCAAAGCAAAGTGCCTTCCTGGTTGTCAAAGCAAAATTGTGGAACCTCCCTAAGCTCTGCTCACCAGATTTCATAGAGTTCTTTGTTTATCAGAAGCATCAGAATAGTTTTATATTTGGATCAATAATCCCATTTGGTGGAAGAAATAGAGATTTCAGAGATTTAAAATATTGACCCATTAAGAGATACTAAGTGTCTGCTTAGCTTTTGAATAACATGTCTGTGTTAGGGGGAAATGTGTTGTGAGTTCTGCCTCCACAGCAAAGAAGTCAGAATTTAAATCCCCAATCTCCTTTCCATCTGGGACTCAAACGTGCAACTTGTGCTTTATCCATCAGCCCTACCTGTGAGATGCTCTGATGGGAAGATAACCCCAGGAAGCAGGCTCCATGTGAACCTTCTTTTTTGCAGACACAGGGGCTGCAGAAACACATCTTTGGGGAGACAGGGTTGCAGCTCGAGATACTTGCAGGGAGGTGTTGGTGGTTCAGACAGCATGTTGACTGAATTGGTCTCTAGGCGTTCGGCATTCAGGGGCAGCCAGCTGGGCAGGGTTTTATATTTATGATTCTGTGGCAGTCCAGCATCTTCATAATAAATACCTTTTGCCTTGGAACAGGCAGAGGGAATTCTTAGCTTCTATTCAAGAACCTGATCAACTAAGTTCTATTTTATCTGTTTTATGCTGCCCATTTTTTTTTTTCCTATTAAACCTTCCTATCGGAGCATTTGCAACAATTTGCAAAGTGCAGTTTAAAAACCTAGCCATAGATTCTAAAAAATGCCCTGATTTGTTCTTTATGTTGTTCGTTTCCTTTGTCTGCAATGAGATTTTCCAGATGACCACAGGTGACTTACCCGTGGCCTACAAGTTTTGTTCAGGATATCTTTTCATCAAAGTCTTTCCTGATTTGTGTGGTTTAAAATTGCAGTATACCCTTCTTCACAGCACACTTGCTCTCCTTAGCCTGTTTTGTATTTTCCCTGTATGATATGATTTGGCTATGTCCCCACCCAAATCTCATCCTGAATTGTAGCTCCCATGATTCCCATGTGTTGTGGGAGGGACCTGGTGGGAGATAATTGAATCATGGGGGCAATTTGCCCCATGCTGTTCTCGTGGTAGTGAATAAGTCTTACAAGATCTGAGGATTTCATAAGGGGTTTCCCCATTCACTTGGCACTCCATTCTCTCGGCACTCCATTCTCTCTCGTCCACCACCATATAAGACGTGTCTTTTGCCTTTCACCGTGACTGTGAGGCCTTCCTAGTCAGATGGAATTGTGAGTCCATTAATCCTCTTTTTCTTTGTAAATTACCTAGTCTTAGGTGTGTTTTTATCAGCAGCATGAAAACCGACTGCTACAACATACCTCTTATCCCTTTCTAAATACTAAATTATTTAAATGTTATTATTGCCATTTCCTCCTAATTACAATGTAACGACAGGGAGGGCATGTTTTGTTTGTTTCTTCATTTTAGTATGTTTTCTTACGTGATTTATTCCAAGTGCCTAGAAGCATGTCTGAAACAGTATAAATCTTTAGTAAATGTTTGTTGAATGAATGCACATTTTTAAAAATAAAATCTTTATAATTGTGCTTTGTTCCTTCACTTTTGAAAGAACCTCCTGTCGGGAAAGAAAAAATTCAATTTCTGCAATGGCCAAAATTTGCAGCCCAGGATGTGTTTTTTCTTCCTGACTACATGGTTAGAGTCAAGACTTCAGGCAAGTCAAACCCCTGTTTGATCCTCAGTAGCTTCAGTTGCTATAATCTCTCCAATACTCCGCAGGGACCAAGACACAAAGATGGGGCATCTAGAGGGAAAATTTAGCAATACTCCTCCCGTTTTCATATGTACATATATAATTTTTTGTTCTCTCCCTTTTTCTTCTTGTTTGTTGAGAGTCAATTGGTTAAAACATTTTTTAACCTTTAAACTTCTCAATCTTTAAGCCAGACATTAGGAGAGAGACATTAGAGGCCAAAGTGGTGCAAGATGTTGATGGATTCAAAACAGAATTAAGAGTTGGGCTGCTAATGGAACTTCTAGGGAGTGAAAACACCAAATAAGAATTGGTAAATCTACTAGAAGCAACACATCCACCAGAAGTTGCACACAAATTGGCTGTTCAGAGCTTATACCATTAGTAATGATGCAATTATTGTGCTTATAGCCTTTTCGGTAGTTCATAAACAAAGTAACTCTTGCTGACATGGGATTTGACTGTGTAGTCTGGATTCTAGAGTCTGAGAGGAGAGGCCTGGGCTGCTGGAAGGAGGGAGAGTTTGAGAGATTTCTTTCCATTTTTGGACCCAAGGACGACACTGACAAATGTATTCAAATACAAAATGCTTCACCCTCATGCTGGCTGGACTCATGCTTCGATGACCCACCAAAGCTTACTCCAGTCCTGAATGTGCTCCATGCTCCTGCCAGTCCTCTAGGCCATGCATGCTTGACTCACCTGAGCAGGGATTTAGGAAGAAAGCAATTCATGTGTAGTATTGTACAGTGATTTATAGTTATTTGAAACTCAAGAAAATGAATTCATATTGTTTATAACTTTTCTTTAAAAGAACACACTAGTTAACAGACATCTCTAATTGAAACTCCAGCTTTAAAGACGACATAGGAATTGAACTTACTTTAGGCAGAGTGTGGAGTGCCACGTTGGGATGACTGCAGTCCTCCAGGCCCTCTGCTTCATGAATCAGCACCCCTAAAATGCTGTTGCTTTTCAAAGTATCTTCTATATGTTTTACTCATGACCTTCAGATTATTGAAAGCTCTAGGTTGCCGGGTCTCTTCCTACTTACCTCAGTGGCTTTCATAGGGATGTTAGCGTGGAGCCAAGTAAGAGAAAATTGTTGTTATTTATATATAGAGATTAATTGTGATTTTTATGTTTGCACATAAAAATATGCATATAAACTAGAATCTTGATTAGGCAAAATTTCATCCTAGTAACATCCTCAGATAATTCCTATTAGTCTGCTGTAAAATTGTAAATGATATAAAGTGGCCCTTAATAAATATTTCTTTCATTTCTTAAATAAGCACATGTTAAGCACCTGTTATATATCACACACAAATAAGACAATTACCGGCCGGGCGCGGTGGCTCATGCCTGTAATCCCAGCACTTTGGGAGGCCGAGGCGGGCAGATCATGAAGTCAGGAGATCAAGACCATTCTGACTAACACAGTGAAACCCCGTCTCTACTAAAAATACAAAAAATTAACCAGGTGTGGTGGCAGGCACCTGTAGTCCCAGCTACTCGGGAGGCTGAGGCAGGAGAATGGCGTAAATCCGAGAGGCAGAGCTTGCAGTGAGCCAAGATCACACCACTGCACTCCAGTCTGGGCGACAGAGTGAGACTCTGTCTCAAAAAAAAAAAAAAAAAAAAAAAGCAATTACCAAAGGGAGCCCAGGCCTCACATCCTTCAGTCTAAAAATGTATAACATTTCCATTTCTACCTATCTTGTTTTGGATACAGTATCACTTTCAGAATGATAATTCTAAGCTAATGAAATAGTCTCAATCATAAATATCCAAAAAGTTTCACTAAATTACATTTTTTAAAGAAAAAAAATTGAGAAGGACAAGACTCAAAAATGGTTTCTAGTTAGATATACAGACTGGAAATCACAGGTTGCATACCAGCGTTATTTGGGTTAAATATAACCTTCACAAGGGTTTGTTCAGGCCCACACATTATCAGCCTTCACAGTGCTTTTATTTTTTTCTTCTCCCAAATCTTTCAGCTTGGAATGTATGACTTCTTTTTAAAAAACAAAATCAGAAGATATGGTAAATGTGGGGCTACTATTATGAGAGAAATCAATGGGAGACAGTCAGAATCAGCTCTCTTACACAGCCAACCTCTTGTTCACCCGAGTCTCTAACTTCCTCATTGTCTACCCAGAACTGAGAACAGAGGTCAGGCTAATCTTTGCCCTGGTGTTCTCATTTTCTCTTTGGTAGTTGTAAAAGAAAGTTACTATTTTTAAAAATTCATATATTAAAAATTTTGGTCTAAATTCTGACCGAATTTACTCAGTTGTGCCTTATCTGGTAAGAATTTAATTTTGCGACACTGCCTCTCAACATTGCCATTCATCAATATTTGACTATATAAACATTTCGATGAAAATGTTGTTTATATGTGTACATATATGGGTGTGCATAGGTGTATAAATACAAATTTAAATATATAGAAAGAGTGAGAAAGAAAGACAGAGACAGAAAAAGAAAGAACAGTAAAATGAGATGACGAAACAAAGAAATGAAGAAAGCAAGCACAGGGAAGGGGGGAAGTGAGGGAGGGAAGACGACAGGAAGGGAAAGAGATTATCTATATACATCTATTCTCCAAGGTATTTTCAGCTCAGTTTCTGTGCCATCCCCTGTGTTACTTCAGGCTTGCCCTGCCCTGACTGGTGGAATATCTTGTCTTCCAGATGGAACACCATTTACCTGGTGGATTGGGCGGTCCAATGAAAGGCACCCTTACTGGGGAGGTTCTCCTCCTGGGGTCCAGCAGTGTGAGTGTGGCCTAGACGAGAGCTGCCTGGACATTCAGCACTTTTGCAATTGCGACGCTGACAAGGATGAATGGTAATGAGAATCTCCATCTTTCTGCAATTATAGAGAAAGCACATTAATTGATGTATAAAATTTCCCCAAGACAGAAGGACATGGATGAGAAGCTCAATACAAACTGGAGTGCCCCGATGGTGACCTTTTTTTTAACTTTGAAAATGGTAAATTCTAGTATTTTCAGTATAACTGATGTTTGTCACATAGAAGCATGTGGTCATACCATCAGCTTCTTTTTGTTGTTGTCTTGCTCTGTCACCAGGCTAGAGTGCAGTGTCGTGATCTCAGCTCACGGCAACCTCCACCTCCCAGGTTCAAGAGATTTTCCTGCCTCAGTCTCCCGAGTAGCTGGGAGTACAGGCACGCACCACCACGCCCAGCTCTTTTTTTTTTTCTTTTCTTGTATTTTTAGTTGAGACGGGGTTTCACCATGTTGGCCGGGATGGTCTCGATCTCTTGACCTCGTGATCCACCTGACTCAGCTTCCCAAAGTGCTGGGATTACAGGTGTGAGCCACTGCACCCGGCCTACATCAGTTTCTTATATTCAGAGCTTCCCATTTCAAACAAGGAATGACATGTAATATTGAGCTTTGCAATTGAGTCAGGATATTAATGATATGTGGACTATAGGTTTTGGGGGGAGAGAGTGAGAGAGACAGGGATGTGGGGTTATATAGGCTGTTTCTTCACGCTCCCATTGATGTTTCAATCACCCACCTTCCCTTTTGCTACCAATGAACACATACAAAGGAAATGTATATTTATTGAGCATCTATTAAATTTCATATAATTGTCTTACTTTTGCTTCATAATGTTGAGTAGTATCTATTGCAGAGATGTTAAATAATTTTCCCAGTGTCAAACATGTCGGTCAAGTGATAGATACAGAATTAGAAATCAGCTGTTTCTGCAGCCAGGGTTTCTCTTAGTCTCCCACACCAACTTACTTCTGTAAAACGAATTTAGTTTGAAGCTTCCATGCCCATTACATTTATTCTTCTTTTATCCTCCAGGTGAGCTGCTAGTTTTTTACAGTATTGATTACAAAAATATGTACAGAACATTTCCAAATATACTTTTTCTTTGACTGAATTTAAAGCATTCTTTGGTTTTGGCTTAGCAATTTTGCTTACTTCGTCAAATACTGCTCAATTTTAATTAAAAATTCTTATGTTAAGCTGGTCTCAATCCCCAAATTTCCCTTTAATATTTTTCCTCACCCCTCAAACTGTTAACCACAAGGACTGCTTCACATAAAATATAAGGTTAAGCTAAAATCTCAGTTCAGCAAGGAAAGGACCAGGCATTTGTCTTCATTGGACCCCAGGAGATGGGAATTATCTCTTCAGAATACCCTAGGGCTGCTTAGGCACCAGGGCAGGTTACCTGAGTGCCTTCTCCTAAACTCAAGCTGGCCGAAGTTACATGGTAATGAATCTTGCTCTTCATGTAGGTGAAATTAGATATAGGTAACCACAGGTAGAATGGGCTTCTGCATTCCTTGAGCCCCCACTTTATCCTCCAGTGAATTCCATCTCATTATTGCAGATGCCTACAACCAACTATGATTTGTATCCCGGGTGGAGGCCATGACTCTTTAAACATTATCCCTCTCAAGACCTACAGAAGACATTCAGTGGTAATTAGTTGAACACATTAATTTAGACCATCTTTAAAGAAGAGAATTATCACAAGATGGCACCTACGAGCTTGGGAGGTGTGTTGAAGTGTTAGATGGTTGTGCTGCCATAAAACATATTCAGAACGTCTGCTCCCAGTCGCTTGGATTCACTCATTCCTTTGATTTATAAGTTTACTCTCACAGTGCATATTAGACACTATATGTTGTAAATCCAAAGAATATATATAGGAGCTGGAATAAAGGTAAAGAAGTGGCATTCTCCTAGTTACTCTTGACTCAGACCCCCTCCCACCTCTCCCCTCTCCTTCCTCCTCTTCACCCTTCCC